GTGGTGGGGAGCGGGGGCTTGGAACGAGTCTGGTAGATAGTTAAAGGAGCAGACTTTTGGTTACACAGGTGCATCACAGAGTCAAGACAAGTGCGAGGCAGAAGGATGTTGGAGGGGCACTGGGATCGTCCCGAGTTGAGTGAGGGAGGGCTACAGGCACGGCCTGGGGGGGTATGGGTGTGCTACCCATCATACAAATATGCCCTTTTAACCCAGTCGGTAGCAGGCTGGGCCAACAAAGGATATACAGAGGAAGGGGCGCAGAAGAAGCAAGTGAAGTGGCATGTGAAGGCATGGCATCATACTCAAAGACTGGGCATGGCATGGCGAGGCATGGCCTGGCCTGGCATGGCATGGCATGGTCTGGCATGGCATGGCATGGCCTGGCATGGCATGGCATGGCATGGCCTGGCATGGCATGGCATGGCATGGCATGGCCTGGCATGGCATGGCATGGCATGGCATGGCATAGCCTGGCCTGGCATGGCATTGCATGGCATGGCATAGCCTGGCCTGGCCTGGCATGGCCTGGCATGGCACAGTGACATGAAGATGGTCATCTCACAGCTTGGAGAGGCTCTTGAGGCCGATCAGAGCCGAGGGGATGGGCCCAAACAGGTAGTTGTAGTGTAGTTGGCTGCACGGCACACGGGGAAGAGGATGGGGGGAAGGGGTGGATGGGGGGTGTGGATGTGCAGGTGGATGGGGAGGAATCGAGGGAAAGGGTGAGATGATCGGCTCAGGTATTGCACTTGTGGGCCCATATGAATGCTGCTGAGGTCTGAGGTGCTTCAGGTACGCACGGAAGGAGAAAGAGGGCACACACGGCATATGAACGCAAGAGGGGGCCAAGACGACCAAGATTTCACTCGCTCAACAATGACATTTCCAAATCTCCTAGTCCCTACGTGCTCTGTAGGTAGGATTCTGCTATATTCCTTTACATTTCTATTGTTCCCACCGGGCCACCCCACCTTATTTCAAAGGAAGGTCCATTCGGGAGGAGCACAAATAGAAAGGAATGGAGTGCTTAAGAGAGAGGCATACAGGTTCTCTAGCTTGGTAAGGGAGGTGAAGGGCGCGGTGAAGGCATCCAGGCGACCAGCCAAGAAGTTTGAGTGCAAGACCCTGGGGGGAAGGCAGAGAGGGGCGTAGGAGAGAAGGCACAGGGAATGGGTTGAAAGGAATGTGGGACGGGTAAGGGCAGGAAATGGGGAAACATAGGAAGGGGGGAAGGCAGGAAGGGGGAAGGCAGGAAGGGGGAAGGCAGGAAGAAGGAAAGGCAGGAAGAAGGGAAGGCAGGAAGAAGGGAAGGCAGGAAGGGGGAGAGATAGGTAATGGTGGAGGGATAGGAACATTGTAGAGCAGTGGGCTTACAAAGCAGTGGGCTTACAAAGCAGTGGGCTTACAGGATATTGAGCGCAGTGAGCTTGGAAATATCCGCATGCATGGACCCAGCCAGCTGGCGCGTGTTGAGGTCGATTGTCAACACAGCACCAGCCGGGCTGCACTGCACGCCTTCCGTGTCCCCTGGCCAAAGAGCGTAGAGCATGTCCTCGGAAGCCACGGGGGTTATCGTGCACAGGGAGTTCACTCCCCAGCCCGGGATAGGCACTCCCAGCGCCGCCTTGAGACTGCCAAGCACCGATACTGGGGGGTGGAGGTGGGGGAAAGGGAGGGGAGTGGGGGTGGAGATAGGGCAGATGTTGAGGGATGGAGGGGATGGAGCAGTGACACCGTATGGATGAGATGGATTGATAAAGACAAGCAGGACACACAAGCATAGTGGAGAGTTGAGATATTTGGGTTTCTCTGACAACTAGAAATTGCAAGGTGGGCAGGAGGCGCACCTGCTGTGGCGTCCATGCGAGCACCTGAGCACTGCATGGGCAGCATAGCATCTAAGGCACTATTAGGTGTGAGTGCTGCCACTGGCCCAGCGGTGTAAGGCGCGCACACCGCTCCATTGCATATCACCGCACCGGAACTTCCAGCACCGCAGAGGAAGCATTCCGAGGAGCTCCTCTGGGAGGAGGAGCCAAAGGCAAGGCACTTGGAGGAGTCTGCTAAGCAGTTGCTGCGAGCATCACATGCGGTGGTGGAAGATGTTGGGAAGGTTCCTGTGAGGAGGTTGGAGGCGACGTTGAGGAACTTGAGGGAGGCAGAGGGAGTGCCGGTGATGGGACCAGCGAGGTAGTCGAAACCCACGTTGCTGGTGGGCGGGAGGAAGTGCAGATGGAGAGAGGGAGGAAGGGAGTAAAGGGAGGCATGAGCAAAGCAATGGAGTGAACGCACAGCGATATGACTGGTGGCATGAGTTGCGACGGAGTGACGTGATAAACAGTGGATGTGAACTGCTAGAAGGCTAGTGGAAACAAGATACACCTAGCTGAGTAGGTGAGTGTGTGTGTGTGTTGTGTGTGTGTGTGTGATCATTTGGTTGCGCTGGGGAGGGTGCTTACAAGGCTCAGAGGGAGGTGTTTACAGGGCTGAGAGGGAGTGCTTACAGGGCTGAGAGAGTGGACATGGTGAGGAGGAACGAGGGCAGAGGGCCGGAGAACCAGTTGTAGTTGAGAGACCTGGAGGGCAGGGGTGGAGGGGAAAAAGTTACACAACAGGAAACAGGAAGTTCTCGCACAAGAAATCACAAAACAACAGCAGAGAAACACAGATGTGCAAGCAGGCTGGTGTGGTGTGGCGGGCATGTGTTGCGGCAGCAGGGTGTGCCGGCAGGAGGACTGACAGTTGCTTGAGTGCCTTGAGGCCGGTGAGAGGCAGAGCCCACTCGCTCATGCGCGCATCCAAGAGGTTGGACGCCACGTTGCTGCGAGCACGGGGGTACAGGGGCACAGAGTCATAGGGGCACAGAGACACATGGCCTCAGGGTCATAGAAAGGGGCACAGGGGCACCGAGAGAGAGAGAAGAGGGGCACCAGGAGATAGAGTTGCGGGGAAGTGGATGAGGGATAGCAAAATGGGGGTTGCAAAATGAGAGCTTGGAAGGAAATGTGAGGAGGTTTAAGGAGCGTGACCTAGAATCAGAATACGTAGAGGTATGGTGGAAATGTGGGGCGAGCTAAGGAAGATGGACGGATGCGGGGCCATGCATTGGTGAAAGCAGGTTGGTGAGGTGCAGCACTCACAGGTAGACCAATAGATCCCCACGTAGGAGGCATGGCGTAGCGTGGCAGCAGCTGTGTTTAGCAAACAGTTGTTAAGTTTGGTTTTGTGCTTGCTTGTAAAAAACCTTGTGAAAAGGAAAAGGTGGCGGTTAAAAAACTAGTTTCGGCTCTTCGAGCCTTCTTCAGACCACAGGTTCAGAAATGACTAGCAAGCACGCTAAATACCAACCCCTAGGGCTCAATCGCGAGGCATTCCTCCGCGTGGCCAGGGAAGGTGGGGGAAAAAAGCTAGATGAAACAGTAGAAAAACAAATCTACAGTAACTAGCACTTATGAGCTGAAATTAGATAATTACCAACTCGTTTAGGTAGACTCCAAGCGAGAATTTCCCTGCGTGTAGAAAAAATACCGTGTGACATTGTACCGAGTTGACTTTTGAGTCGACTCAAAAGTCAACACGATGGACGAATGCGGGGCCATGCATTGGTGAAAGCAGGTTGGTGAGGTGCAGCACTCACAGGTCGGTGAGCGCAGTAAGCTTAGAGATGCCAGCATGCAAGCTGCCACGAAGCTTCATCTTGGAAATATCCCTGTTGCGACGTCAGCAAGCCCATGCCATGACACGATGAAAAGGAAATAGCAGGCATAAGAGAAAGAGGAGCATTGAGCATGATGAGGCGCACGGGTGTGGTGAGCAAGTCACCGTGCGATGACGAGATATGCAGCAGCAGCACCGAAGGAGGAGATACCTCCTCATGGTGGCAGCAGTGCGATGGTGACATGACCAGTGTGGGAGGCATACGCTGCTCACTGCATTACTGCATGTGCCCCAAGAGCAAGAGGGTGCGAGTCCACCGCCCAGCTGCTCGCACTCACGCCCAGCCCTGCCCTCAGTGCCAGCAGCGCCAGCGTTGGGGTAGGGTGGGGGGGAGGAAAACAAGGGAATGAGAAAAGCGGGAAAAGGGGGAGGAGCAGGAGGAAGTATGCCATGGGGAAAGAGAAGGTGGATCAGTGGGGAGAGTGGAGGGTGGGACGGGAAGGAGCAGCAGGGTGGATGGTAGAGGCGAGGGAGAGGGTGAGAGTGAAGTGAGGCTGACACTGAGCGTGGGTGGGCAGGGCAGAGCACGGATCTCAAATGAGGCAAATCAGGACTGGGTGGGTTGAGCACGGATTCCGGTGTAAGTGGGAAGCTGACACTCAGCATGATTCTGTCAAGCAATGAGGACAACGCCAGTCAGAGTTTGTCTGTCTGTCTATCTGTCTCCTGCTGCTGCTGCTGCTGCTGCTGCTGCTGCTGCTGCTGCTGCTGCTGCTGCTACAGTATTGGTACTCCATTATAATGGCCTCAATAATTTGAGGCACTATGCAGACTTCCGCATCTCATGGCGTGCCACTCACCAGAGTTGTCATCCACTGGAACGGCCTGGCATAACATTGCTGGGAGGGCGGCAGCAGGGGTGTTGACGGTGCCGGCAGCAAGGCGAGCAGCGACATCGGGAGTGCAGGTGGTTCCGGCACAGAAAGGCGGGGCGCCCGTGACGGAGCCACAGAAGGCGCAGCCGGAGGTGCGCTGAGCCACGCCGGCATCGTTGGTGCAGGAGCCCGGCGAGGAGAGGCAGTTGCTGCGGATGTCGCACAGCTGGAAGGGCTGCGTGGGGAAGGCGCCCGCCAGGAGGTTGCTGGCGATGGCCAGCACCTGCAGCTGCGTGGCCATGGCTGGCAGCGTGCCCGTCAGGTAGTTTTCTCCCACCCGGCTGTGCGTATGTTGAAGAGGAGGAGAGAGCGGTGAAGGAGGGGAGTGAGGTTAAAGGTAATGAGGGGAATGAGAATGGGCGTGCGATGGGCATGGGCGTGAGAACGGGCATAAGCTTCTATGGCATGGGCAAGGGCATGGGCATGAGCATGGGCAAGGGCATGGGCATGGGCAAGGGCATGGGCATGGGCATGGGCATAGGCGTGGGCGTGGGCATGGGCATGGGCGTGGGCATGGGCGTGGGCATGGGCGTGGGCATGGGCGTGGGCATGGGCATGGGCATGGGTGTGGGCATAGGCGTGGGTATGTTGGGCATAAGCATAAATATGGGCATGAGCATAAATATGGGCATGAGCATAAATATGGGCATGAGAATAAACTTAGGCATGAGCATAAATATGGGCATGAGTATAAATATGGGCATGAGCATAAATATGGGCAGGAGCATAAATATGGGCATGAGCATAAATATGGGCATGAGCATAAACATGGGCATGAGCATAAACATGGGCATGGCACAGGCATGGGCAAGGGCATGGGCATAGAGATGGCAGAACTGACAGTTCTGTGAGTTTTGGCATGTTGACCAGAGCCGATGGGATACTGTCATAGAGGTAGTTGGAGGTGAGGTTCCTGGAGAAGCTCAGGCACGTGGACGAGAAGCACATGAGAAGCACATGAGAAGGGAGTGAATAAAGTAAGGAGTGAGCACGCATAATGCGCTGTGATGCATAAACAAGTCCGTGACCCCTGCCCCCTGTTCTCTAAACGGCAGGTGATTGCAATGGCAGGTGATTGCAATGGCAGGTGGAGCATGCGCGCAATGGTGCAAGAACCAAAGAGGGACAGGTCCCCCTGCTGGGGATAGGAGGAGCACAGGCGGAGCATGCGCGGGAGGAGCACGGGTAGAGCATGCGCGGGATGGTGCAAGAGGGACGTTGTGTGCGAGTCCAGTCCTGCCCTGCTGGTACCCCCTAACACTCTCACAGTGGCCATGCTGGTGAGTGAGACTGCTGTGAGTTATCAGACGTCAACTCATAGAGTGGCCAAGCTGGTGAGCGGCAGCATGGTGGACACGAACTTTGAGAGCTGCCCAAAGAAGAGATTGCTGGACAGATCGCTGTGAGTGCAGGTGGGAGTGGAGGAGCACGGGGAGAGGAGGAGCACGGAGAGTGGAGGAGCACGGGAAGGAGAGAAAGGGTGAGATGTGGGATGAGAAGAGGGAGAAGAGGATGGAAATGAAGCCGAAAAGGAAAGAGTTAGATGGACCCAGGTGTGCAGAATCCTAGTCAATTCTAGAATACGGGTGTGAAAGTGATCCATGCTTTTAGGGAACGCCCCAGGTTGTGAGGGGTTGAGGTTGAGGGTTGGACGTACAGGTAGGAGAGGGCAGTGAGCTTGGAGATGTCGGCATGGATGATGCCCCTCAGTGCCTTGTTGGGCAACGTGCTACCATGGGATAGTGGGAGCAAGAGGCATGTGGACAGCATGAGGCATGAGGATAGCAGGAGGCATGGGATAGCAGGAGTCATGGGGATAGCAGGACGCATGGGGTTAGCAGGAGTCATGACGTTAGCAAGAGTCATGGGGTTAGCAGGAGTAATGGGGTTAGCAGGAGTCATGGGGTTAGCAGGAGTCATGGGGTTAGCAGGAGTCATGGGGTTAGCAGGAGTCATGGGGATAGCAGGAGTCATGGGGATAGCAGGAGTCATGGGGATAGCAGGACGCATGGGGTTAGCAGGAGTCATGGGGTTAGCAGGAGTCATGGGGTTAGCAGGAGTCATGGGGATAGTAGGACGCATGGGGTTAGCAGGAGTCATGGGGTTAGCAGGAGTCATGGGGTTAGCAGGAGGCATGGGGTTAGCAGGAGTCATGGGGTTAGCAGGAGTCATGGGGTTAGCAGGAGGCATGGGGTTAGCAGGAGGCATGGGGTTAGCAGGAGAAAACGCATACTCAATGAAGGACCATACGCACGTGCCCTTCCTCCCCATGGCTGTGGAAACCCATGGCTGCCCATGCGCTGAAGTCCCTGTGCGCCTGGAAAACGCAGCTTTCCTCAAATCTGACCCCTCAGCCTAAGCTAAGCTACTCCACAAATACCAATAGCGGTGGTGGGTGGCACTCCAACGGGGGCAGCAGGTCGGCTGGAGCATCAAAGCAAGCATCACACTCGAGGCTGAAAGCCCCGCAATGGGTGCCACTGAGGAGGCCATGGGAGGTGGGGATGCGCATGGCATGTTGGAGCCCTTACAGCGCTCCTTGCTACAGCGCCATGCACAGCCGCATGGCAGGCAGCCTTCCTCCCAGTGAACACACTCAGCACCCACTTTGTTAGTCGTTGCTTTACTTAAATAACAAAGCGTCGGACTATTCGGGAAAGAAAGAAAGATGGAGTGAGTGCACGGTGAGCAGGAGGGTAGGGGAGGTCACATGGAGAGGACGGTGCCGTTGGCGTTGCACCACACGCCCGGAAACGACTTGAGGTTGGCGGTCTGCCCCTCAATGTTGCACTTGCTGCCGTTGCGCCAGTCTATGTCTCTCACACCAAGAGCTGCCCCTAAACTCAACAGTGCCGCCACTGCCAGTGGGAGTGCACGAAGAGGGGCAAGGGAGAGAGGATGCTGAGTGGGTGCATGCAGGTCTTCAGAGTGGTGAAGGGAGATGCAGAGTCATAGACTCGCATAGGATGGGCTTGCAGCACGCGAGGATGGTGGTGGTGGTCTGATGATGGTGCAGTATGGATGGTGACATATGAGAAGAAAATGAAGCGGGTGTGGCAGGGGAGTGGGAGAGTCATGGGAGGCAAAATGAAGGATCGTGGCAGTGCATGCGAAGGCAGGTGAGAGGGATTTGGGGCCACTTCACGGACTCACGCCTGGCAGGAGTGAAGGAGGGAAGGGGCTCACCAGAGGTGGCATCAAGGGGCACGGCAGCACATGCCATCGGGAGGATGGGAGCAGCAACACTGTTGGGAACCTTAGCGACGGAAGGAGAGACGATGGGCATGCAGGTGGATCCTCCACACTGCGTCGACTGTGTCTTGGTTATTGAGCCACACATGTTGCACCCTGTTAGTGGCCTCTGTGCGGTTCCGTCCAGGTTGGGGCAAGCTGAAGCGTCGCTGAAGCAGTTGAGGCGAGCATTGCAGGCAGCGAGTGTGGCGGTGGGGAAAGTGCCCGAGAGGAAGTTGGCCTGCATGTCGAGAACCTTGAGGATGGCACCGGGCTTGGGCAGCGAGCCTGTCAGATAGTTGTAGCTCAAGCGACTGGTGGTTGGGGTGGCAGGGAGAAGAGAGGGAAGATAGGGAAGAGGGGTGGCGAATTGGAAAGGGAGGATGAGAAATGAGTGGGAACAAAAAAGGGGGATGGGATACAGAGGGATGATAAGGAAGGGTGAATTAGGGAAGTAGAGGTGGATGTTGATGTGAAAAGGGTTACGGTGTTTGTTACAAGTTGGAGAGTGTTCATGCGTCAAACATTCACGTCTTCTGTAAGAGTTGTCAAACATCTCTTGCAAAGAGGACAAGAGAGAGAGGGAGAGAGTTTAGGCGCGAGTAGATTATTACAGATTGGAGAGGGCGGCCATGGCTACAAGCTTGGATGGCACCGAGCCGTAGAGCCAGTTGAAGCTCACCGTCCTGGTGGGACACGTGAAGGCATGCACACATGCAGAGACGCATGCGTGGTGCATGCATGCACACACACATGCAGAGATGCAGACACATGTTGGTGTAAGGGCCTAATAAACTCAAGCTATTAGGACTTAATCAAACTTAAAACCTCTCCTCGGGGTCACCTCCAAGGGTCCCTGGGTGCCTGGTACAAGACCAGCCCCTATCCTCGGGTCCGAGTTTGTAGAGAGAGGGATCAAGAAGGACTTAGTCAAAACAGCAAGAGTACCTTGAACGTCGCGCAGCGTGCCGTGCAGACCGTCGATCGGATTAAGCTGAGAATTCGCTATATCGAAGCTCGCTCCAAGAGCTTTAAAATGAGCCAAGTTGCCTCGCAAAAAGTTCTGCCATTACTAAGTTCTGGCTCGGACAGCGTTTGCCTAGCGTTGGAGTGCTAGCATACTAGCGTTGACTCGGGTAGCATTCCGCCGTCGAATAGCGCAGAAACGAAATTCCAGCGAGGAAGGAATTCGCTTGAATCAATTTGACTATATTCAGGTACAAACAGAGAAGGATTAAATACTTCTAGCTAGCAAGGACCTTGGGAATCAACCTGGGAACAATCAGGGATGATCCCAAATAATTCCAAGCAACAGAACCAACCTGGCTGGACAAAATAGCAGGTGGTAGGTTGGTAAACAACCTCTGGTTCTGTTTTTCCAACCTGGGAAAACAACAACCAGGTTCAGGTTCTAAAAACAGAACCTGTTTTGTCTTTGCCTAACCAGCCAAATGCTGGTTCCGCTGGTTTCCCCTGGCCTTGTAGCATGCAGATACAGACAAACAACATCCAACCTTCACCTAAATTGTACTCCTATAGTGCCTTCCCTGCTACACTATAGTTAACCAAACAAAACAGTACAATTTCGAGTTGGATAGAACTGAATCTGCGCAATCAACTCAACCGAACTGCAAAGCTTCCATCTTGGGTTCCTTTGCGAGCTCGTCCTTTCTGCTTGCACTGTTCATAGCGCGTACAATGTTGTGCCGAAGCGCACATTGCGCGAGTACCTGCAAATGCATCAAGCGAAAATTGCGAAAGCAAACAAACACACGAACATTCCATTCACACCCAAATGCATTCGCACACGCATACTTGTACAAACAGACGGCAGGATGTCGTGCAATGTGCATTTGCACCCAACACATACTCGTACAAACAGACGGCAGGATGTCGTGCAATGTGCATTTGCACCCAACACACTCCCCCTCAGCCTGCCGGCTGCATCCCCATCATTCCATGCTAGTTCATGCTCATTCCACTCATGCGCACACAACGCCAATGAGGCTCATCCGCAAGCCTCTTGGTGAGAAAGTCTGCTGGCTGCTGGTGAGTCTTGATGTAGATCGGATGCACCGTCCCCCTCTTCACCTCCTTACGCAGCCAGTGCCACTTGATACGCATGTGCTTGTTCAGCCCATGAAGCACAGCGTTTCTGGCCATCCCAAGAGCCCCCTTGCTATCACAAAACAGCGGCGTAGCAACTTTCTGCTCCTGGCCAATCTCCTCTAACAGCCTCCTCAGCCAAATCACCTCCTTCACCCCATGGAACATCGCCATGTACTCTGATTCTACGGAAGAGAGTGCCGTCTCCGTCTGCTTCTTGGACCTCCAACTAACAGGTCCTCCCCCAACTATGCAGATGTATCCTCCCACAGATGAGGAATCCTCCTTCTCAGAAGCCCATGTAGCATCGGTAAAGCAAGTGAGAAATAGCTTGCCTTCTCCAAGCCTCTCCCCCTTCTCTTTCAGCACCTCCACCCCTTTCTGCTTCACCTGTGCAGATGCGGAGTATTGAACTCCAATGCTTGGGTGAGAGTTCAGGTACTTCACCACACGCTCAGCTGCATCCACCTGCTCCTCTGATGGATTCT